AGACGAAAGTGGAGAGGGGAGAGGAGGGGGCAAGGCAGGTGACATCGCGCCACGTCTGGCAACCTCTCCCTCAAAAAGACCCGATCGAGCCCGAAAGGGGGGGCTGCACACACGGGAGAAGGAGGTGGCGGGTTACGGCAAGTTCGCGTCATGTCGACCCCGGCGTTGGTTCCTGACACCGCGGGGATCGTCAAAACTTGAACGATCGTCCGTTCCGTGAACGCCAGATCGTTCAACGACGGGCCGATGCTGGGCCACGGCCGGGGTTCAACCTTGCAACGCACGCGGTGGGGTGGCCGCCGGTCGGCACGACGCGAACCTGCTGCAGCAGGAGGACGAGCGGGGGGAAGAGGAGGAGGATGTGGAAGGACGAGCACGGGAACGAACGGCACGACCAGGAACTGGAGTGGATGGAACGGGAGGAGCCAGAGGACCAGGGGAAGGCAGAAGAGGGAAATGAGGTGGGCGACAATGATGGAAAAGCGCTCGGATCTAGAACAGTGGCCCACGCTGGAGTTAGAGCGTCGTTCTGAAGGACATTAGCAAAAGCGCCGATTCCGAAAAGAGCCCTATGCTGCAGCGGGAGCACCAGAGAACAATCGGATGGTAAAACAAAACACAGGGAAGACTTCGTTCGCCCAAGTCTGTGTGAGAACTGGCCATATTCTGAACGGAGTCAGGGAGAAGAAGAAAGCTGTACTAATAAGGTGTATGTGTAAAGATGAGAGACGCGAGGGCAAGAGAGAACAAACAAGCACGACAGGGGAGACAAAGCACTAGCCAGGCGAAGAACCCAACCATGTGCAGTTGTGAGTAACGCAGTTGTGAAGATCGTCTTCGGTGGAGCAACCTATGGGGCCACGAAGCGTGTGAGGGGTGTGCCGAAACGAGCGCCACTGGGGCCATCGGTGGAGCTCCCTATGGGGCCACGCAACGTGTGAGGGGTGTGCCGAAAGGAGTGGCGGGGACGATTGTGGGCACCGCCACCGGGACCTTCGTTGGAGCCCCTATGGGGCCACGAAACGTGTGATGCGTGTGAAGACATGGGTGGCGGGGACGCATGCGGGCTGCGCCACTGGGACCCTTCGGTGGGGCTCGCTATGGGACCACGAAACGTGTGAGGGGTCTGCCAAAGTGAGAGGGGTGACGGGAGGAGGGAGGGGGAGGAGGAGGAGAAGAGGAGAGGAACGCGGGGCGCTGTCTCTTCAAAGCGAGGACCCAACACCACAGGATGGCTGGGGATGGGGAAGAGGAGCGGGGGAGAACGAGGGAAGAGGAGGAGGGAGGAAGAGAGAGGAACGAGGCACACAGGAAGAAGAAGTCATAAGCAACAGCGGTATAATAAGGGGCTGGAGCTTCGAGGAGGAGTCGCATGGGAGGAGGAGTACGCGCGGGAGGGACTGGGGTGCGTCGCCTGACGCTGCGAAACGAAGGAGCGTTCTGGGGGCACTCCTCCCCGTTCATCCGTTCCCTTTCTCTTCTTCACTTTTATATCTGCTCTCTCTCCGCCCCTTTCCCTGCTCCTCCGTCCTTCCCTGCTCTCCGTTTGGGGTCCCTCCTCGCTCCCCTCCCTCCCTCCCGTCTCCTCCGTACACCCGCCTCCTCGTCCCCCTCCTCCCGCTTTTCCCTTCCCCATATCCATCACTGTCGCCTCTTCTCCTCATCCTCCTCCTCCTCCTCCTCCTCCTCCTCGCTCCCTTCCTCCCTCCCGTCATCCTCCGTACACCCGCCTCTTCTCGTCCCCCGCCTCCCGTTGTTCCGTCCCCATATCCATCACTGTCGCCTCTTCTCGTCCTCCTCCTCCTCCTCCTCCTCCTCCTCCTCCTCCTACTCCTCCTCCCATCTTCCTTGCCAGCATCCTGCTCGGTCGGGGGTGGCGCTCAGAAACCATCCCAAGTCATCTGCCATCGGGCGTTTACCTTGGCCCAAACCACAAGTCCACTCACACACAAACAGAAAGGCAGAGACGAGAGGGAGAGGGATAGACTGGTCCTTCTATGTATGTACATGTATACACACTCAAATATCATATACATAAACTAGACACACATGAACTAGACACACTCGCGCGCGTTCTGCGCGCGTTCTGTATCTAGATAGCCCAAGGCGTTGGGAAGCCCATAGTGGATCATGCTTGACTCGTCGCTCTCCAACTGCCAACTGCCCTGCTTACCTTCCTCACCTTTTCGTGGCTGTCGTCTCCCGTTATGCTCGTCTTGCCTTCCCCTGCCTGATGTTAGTTCCTCAACCCTCGTCTGGGCAGGCGATAGTGCAGACTGAGAAGGAAACAAATGAGTGGAAGGATATCAGAGGAATGAGACAGTCACAAGGCAGCTCGGAGGAGACGCGAGGTTGGAGGACCAGGAGACATGATAGGTAGGCAGATGGGAGGGCGATATGCGGGAAGGAGCCAGGATAGGTAGGAATCAGGATGGAAGGAGGAACGGGGGAATTGATACACAGACCGGCGGAGGAGGGGCGCAGCTCCCATTCGACACGTCCTCTGGAGGTTCCACTCCTCCTGACGCCTCTTTCCCTTCTACTCATCATGTAGCGGCATCATCCATTCTCTCATCTTTCTCCTCGTGTCCTTCCGAGAATCCTCGGCCCAGTCGCCAGCGCGCTTGGGTTATAGGTCATCCATGTTCTGGGTGTTCGTTGGGATGTCGTGAAAGAGTTCGCGGGGGAGCTTTGGAGGCAATTTGACACCTTTTGGGCGCTGCTGTGAAGCCTCTTGGGGCGTCTTGGGGGCTCTAGGGGGCTGTGGGGGGTGCTTTGGAGCGTCTTGGGGCGGAAAGCTCGACTTGTTGGTTCGGGCACCCGCTCTTGGGCCACTTTGGGGGCTGTCGCTGGGCTCTCTCGGGCTCTCTTGGGCGACTCTTGGGCCGCCTCTGGGGGCTCTCCCTGGCTGTCTTGGGGCGCCCTTAGGGCCTCTCAGGGCGGTTTTGGGAGCTCCATGGGCCGCCTACAACGCCGCGAAGGCAGAAAAAACGCAGATGCAAACAGTGCACGCTTCTCTAATGGAATGAGCAATTTGGGCGTACTGGGAGCCTCTTGAGAATGCTATTAAAGGCCGCTCGGTGCGTGTTGGGCGGTCTCTTAGCACTTCTTGGGGCCATCTTGTGCGTCTCGGAGCGGTTCTTCAACGATTCGGACCCCGCTTGGACCATCGCGGTGGTTTTGGGGCCCCTCCTGGCGCGTTTTGGAGGGGCCCAGGTGCTCTGCCACTGGCATGGAAATCCTGTATTTGCCCTTAGGGCCCCCTGCCCTGAACCCCGGATATATGTATAGAATATCATGACAGTGCTTGTACATACGGCATACCACTTGTTGTCGAAAGAACTGGGCCGGCGGGTCGGTCTGGCGGTAGGTCCTCCTCATGCTCCTGGTGCTGTTCCTCCTCGTCGTTGTCCTCCTCCTCCTCCTCCTCCTTCTCATGAATCGTGTTGCGCCTGTCGACTCGCCTGTGAGCGTCCAGCATCTGTCTGTCTCTCTGTCCTCCTCTTTTTGCTCGCCGTGCTCCTCCTTGCATTCCTTGTACTCGTCATCGTGCTCATCGTCCTCCTCCGCTTCGCAAGTACGTACTATTATTATCATCCTCCTCCTCCTGCTCCTCCTCCTCCTCCTCCTCCTGCTCCTCCTCATCCTGCTCCTCCTCATCCTGCTCCTCCACCTCCTACAACTCCACCTCGTCCCCTTCCTCCTCCTGCTACTCCTCCTCTTCCTCCTCCTCCTCCTCCTCCTCACCTCCTCCTCGCCTTCGCGTTCCTCTCCCTCCTCCTCGTGCTCCCCTTCCTTTCTCCCCTCCTCCTCCTCCGCCTCCTCCTTCTCATCATCATCATCATCATAAAAACCGTTTGGCTCCGTCGCTCCTGAGGAGGGGCCGCGGGGTCGCGCCGAGCCTCCGCGAGGCGTTCTTGGGGCCGCGCGCCATAAACTGTCTGGCGGCAGCTGGTGGCGGCGCGGTGCCGGTTCGGCGCGGTGCCGGTTCGGCGCAATTTGTTTGGAAGTCGATTTCTAAAGTCTCTGGAGGCGTCCTGGGATCCATCGAGATGGGGCGCAGCGCCTCTCGTCGGCCACGGTCCGTCGGACGCACGCGGGTCTCGTTCGAACGGCCCTGGTCTCGATGTTCGACTTGCCGCCGCTGCGAGTGGGACGATTTGTTGGAGGCTCAGAGTTGGCGATGCCCCTGCGGCGCCGAGGTGACGCAGTTCCGTGCTCCCTCCCAGCCTCGACCTCGTGGTGGTGCTGGCGGTCGTGGACGCGGCGGGCCTGGCGGAGCTCCTGGCGCCGGCGGGGCTGCTGCCGACCAGCTGCAGCGCCCAGGAGCCCCAGCGCGCGACAGCTCGGTGCCTCCCGAGCTGGCCGCGGCGCTGCGGGTCGCCGAGGCCCACGCCCAGGCTGCGGCGGCCATGGCGAAGGCGAAGGAGCCAACGCTGGACGACGCGCTCCGCAGGGCCGCAGGCGAGCGCAAGGACCTCCACAGGCGGCACCAGCCCGCGGTGGATCAGGTCCTGCGCTGCTGCTCAGGCCTTCGCACGGCCGAGGCTCGCGAGCGGGAGCTCGCCCTGCTGCTGGCGGAGGCCGAGGCCGCCAAGCAGAAGGCTGCCGCTGCGGTGGCGGCGCTGGGTGCCCCCGCGCCCGCAGCTGGTGCAGGCGCTCTGACTGACCCCCGTTTGTATGGAACCCCGTCGGCTGAGCCCCGACAAAGTCCGACAAAGGCAGGGGGTGAAGGAATGTAGTATTGAGAATGTGTAAGCGTGAACAGGAGAATTGAGGGCAAGAGAAAGAGAGAGAGAGAGAGAGAAAGAGAGAAACACACATAACAAACAAAAAAAACGAGAGAGGAGCGAGGAGGAGCGAGGAGCGAGGAGCGAGGAGCGAGGAGCGAGGAGCGAGGAGGAGGAGGAGGAGGAGGAGGAGGAGGAGGAGGAGGAGGAGGAGGAGGGAGGAGGAGGGGGGGGAGGGAGGGGGAGGAGCGAGGAGGGAGGCGCATTTTTTTGCACCGGCTCAGGTCCAGGACACCGAACCCACCGCCTGCGGCTCGCCGCCCCCGCGCCCGGCGTCCGCCCCCTCCCGCCGCCGCCCCGTCAGCCGGGCCAGCTCGGCCACGGGCAGGTCGAACCTCTTTGGGTGACCCAAAAGGGGGTCCAGCTGAAAGGAGGTGGTGCAATAGATCTGGGGCAATTGTTTTGCAAATGTATTGCGCCGGAGAATTGGACTGTATTGTATTACAAGTAGCGTGTTGCACACGATAATACATACAGCAATACAGTTGCGCCCCGAGATGTACTGCACGCCCATATGTACTGCAACCCCACAAATCTATTGCATCAAATCTATTGCACCACCCCCTTGTCGGTGGGCCCCCTTTTGGGTCAACCCGAACCTCCGCACCACGCCCCGGAGCTCCGCGAGGCCCTGGAAGCCGAGGCACGCCATGGCGGACAGCGCGCACACCAGCTCGCCATCGAGGGAAGAAAGGCGACATGGGAGCATAAGCTGTCAGAGGTCCGCGCAAGCTTCTCGCGTCGGCGCTGGGCGCCGTTCCTTGGCGCGCGGAACGCACCAGGGGCGGCGCCCGACGCCAGGGAGTCCGGCGCAGATCCGGGAAGCCTGCGCGGGCCTCCGAAGGCTGATACACAAGTCGTCCTTTGCTCCTCGAAGCTTCACCCCCACCTCGTCGGCCATGTCCTGGAGCGTGGCCCGGAGGAACAGGGCAAGCGAGAGGGCGTAGAAGAGAATCGCGTACAGGTGGAGGCATGCGCAGCCGCCACCGTCGGGGCCAGCATGGACTGCCCTCGGGACCAACAAGTCGAGGTCCAGGCCGAACACGCCCACGAAATCATCGCAGGAGCAACACCTGGGTCGACAACGAGGTATCCATACAAGTCGGTCGGAAGAAGCAGGTAAAAAAACATGAAGCAGGAAGGCGGATAAAGTAGAGTGGGCTCGGGCCCGCCCACACAACAACAACAACAACAACAACAACAACAACAACAACAACAACAACAACAACAACAACAACAACAACAACAACAACAACAACAACAACAACAGCAACAACAACAACAGCAGCAACAACAACAACACCAACAGCAGCAACAGCAGCAGCAACAACAACAATAATAACAACAACATCAACAACAACAACAATCATTCTAACACGTTTCGCTCTTACTTGCCCGTGTGTCATTCAAAACGAGTTCCCCAAACCCTCGATACCCGACCTTTTTGTCGTGGATCACACCCCCTGTGGGTTTTTTTTTTCTCTTCGCGGGGGGGGGGCGGGCTTAGACAGGCGGGCAAACCTGAACGGGTGGACAATCCTTCGAGGGCGTACATGTGCCCGCCATTGGAATTTGTGTGGGCCCTGCAAATAGAAGAGGGGGAGAACGAGGGAGAGCGGGAGGAAGGGATGGGGAGGGACGAAGGAAGAGGGAAAACGCCAGGAGAGAAGGAGCGAAGAGGCGGGTGGTTGATTAGACGCAGAGAGAGAGAGAGAGAGAGAGAGAGAGAGAACAGACATATATATATATATATATATAGAGAGAGAGAGAGAGAGAGAGACAAAAAAACAGAGGTAGAGAGAGGGGGGAGAGAGAGAGAGAGGGAGAGCGAAAAAAAGAGGGAGGGAGGAGGCAGGAGAGGGGAGGGAGAAGGGAGGAGGGAGAGGAGGGAGAGGGGATAGGGCAGAGAGGCATAAGGACGAGGGAAGAGAGGAGGGAGAGAGAAGGGAGGAGAAGCAAGAAGGTACGAGCGTGAACGTTCGAGGAAGTCCTAGGCGAAAAAGCCGTTCCTGAAGGAAGTCTCGGGCGGGAGCCCACGACGGGCGGGCGATCCCCTGACGGGCGGGTCGGGCGGGTCGGACATTCAAGCGGGATGCCTGAGTATGGCGAGAGCGCGATTCCTGAGTAAATTGTGACGGCGTCTTTTGCGCAACGTGTTTCCTGAGCGTCGAAACAGGGCGCAATTCCTGAATAAAATGTGAGGGGTTCTCGGGCGGGAGCTGGGATCTTGATTAAATTGAGAGGAAGTCTTGACTAAATTGCGAGGAAATCACAGACGGGAGCGCATTTGGAGGAAATCTCAGGCGGGAACCGTTGTTGTTGTAATCCGGGGGGCCAGGGGCACAGTTTGAGCATCAAGACTCTTCCTGTCAAAAAACAAGGTGCGAGCGTCGAGGGGTACACTTCGATTGAGAACAGACAGTATGCACCGGTGAGGGGGGATAAAACATAATCAGTCTTCCGAAATGAGAGTTCAACAACAACAGCAACACCAACAACAACAGCAGCAGCAACAACAACAAATACAACAACAAACAACAAAAACAAAAACAGCAACGACGACGACAACAACAACAGCAACGACGACAACAACGACAATAATAACAATAATCACATCGAGTCTTGAGGTAGGAAGGCGTTTGAAGTAGATCGGGATCTGGGAATCCAACATCAACTACTTTCAACGACCAGCCTGTGCAGCTGCTCCCCGTCGAGCCTCGAAGTCGGAAGCCGCTAAAAGCTAATCGGGATCTGTCGGGGGCGCGCACACAGGGATTAGCGATCCATGGACTTGGCGCGCGGTCGCCAGATCCATGGATCGGGGGAGGCGCCCTCCCCAAAATGGCGGCGGAAATCCCCGATTTCCAATGAAAATGGGACCCGTCGCTAATCCACGCCCCCTTGATCCATGTTTGCGATCGCCTAACACTCACTCCACTCATGCGTCGATGCTGCATCGAACGTCCGTCGACTCGAGTCGAGCCTGAGTCGAGCGAGACTCAAGCTGGAGTCGGACAGATCCGCAGGGTGGGCCCCAGGAAGGTCCCCCAAACAAGCATCTAAGGAAGACAGCCGCCCTTGCACTCGTCGTAGGAGGGCCTGATCCTGTCCCAATCCAGCCGGGGCTCCCATAAAAATGAGACCCGTCACTAATCCACGCCCCCCTCAATCCATGTCTGCGATCGCCTGGATCTGGGAGTCCAGAAGAATCGCCTGCCTGCAGCGACCGGCGTGCTCAGCCGCTCCCCCGGGCCTCTCCCCGGGGCGCGCCCTGACCAGCATCAGGTCGGGCACGTCCCCCTGCGGGCGGATTTTGGACGAAGAATAAAAAGTAGCCGAAAAGATTTGCAAAAACTCAGAAAAGAATGAACAAATGCTCAACAGTAGCGAAAAGATACTCAAAAAGATTGTCCCCAGACTATTTTTTTCACTACTTACTTTTGAACACTCCTCCTGTAGAGGGGCAAGCCCGACTTGAGAGCAGCACTCCGAGGCGAGCCCAGCCGAGGGCCCGCGCGAGGGCCTCTTGCCGGGAGGGCCCACGCGAGGCGCGGGAGCAGCGCGGCGCCGGTGCCCTCCAGGAGAGCCCAGAGTCGAATCGATAAGTGTAGGTCGGGCCCCAGGCTCTTGACTCAAGAGGAGCCTGGGAGCCTCTTGACTCAAGAGGCTCCCAGGACAGTTTAGTCCTGGGAGCCTCTCGACTCAAGAGGCTCCCAGGACAGGCCCAACCTGACCCAAGAGGGGTCCGAATCGTTGAAGAACCGCTCCGAGACGCACAAGGTGGCCCCAAGAAGTGCCGAGAGACCGCCCAACACGCACCGAGAGGCCTCCTACAGCACTCTCAAGAGTCTTGAGAGTGCTATAGGAGGCCGCTCGGTGCGTGTGGGGCGGTCTCGTGGCACTTTTGGGGCCACCTTGTGCGTCTCGGAGCGGTTCTTCAACGATTCGGGCACCTCTTGGATTAGGTCGGGCCTGTCCCCCTACAGGGGGATTTTGGAGGAAGAATAAAAAATAGTCAAAAAGATCATCAAAAATTGTCAAAAAATCGTCACCAGACTATTTTTTCACTATTTTTGAACCTTCCCCCTGAAGAAGGACAGACCCGACTTAACGATAAGTCGGATCGGCTATCGACATGAATCGGATCGGCGGAAATCGGCCACCGAGTCGGAAAAGAAGCCGAATCGGCAGAGATCGGCAGACTCTAAAGTGCCTCCAATGACACATCGGGAGCCACATCGGAATCCCAGGTCGAACCGAAGCGGGACCGGAAATCGAAAGGAATCGAATCGGGGGCATCGAAATGAGCCCTGTGCCTCTCTTGGCGGTGCGCACAAGGGGGCGGAGGGAGGGGGGAGGGCTTCTTAGAGGGAGGCTGCTCCTTAGAAGGCGCCAGCCTTACATCTATAAATAAGGCCCGCGCCTTCTAAGGAGCAAGAATCCCTCCCCCCTCCCCCTGCCCCCCCTCTGCGCGTGGCTGAGCACCCCTTCCCCCGGGACGGACCTTCGCCGCGGGCACTGTCCCGCCAGTCCCTGGCCAGACCAAAGACCTCCCTGGACACCAGGTGCTCACAGAACAAGCGGCGGCGCCGGGGGCAGGAGAGCCCAGAATCCAATCGATGAGCCAGAGCGGCGATCGAAATGTATCGCATCGGCGGACATCGGCAGCCAGGTCGGGAGAACTCGACTCGACTGGCATCGGCAGGCCAGTGAAAGGCCCCCCTCTGCGCGTGGCTGACCCTTGGCGATGCCGACTGGTGCAATGTTTGCGCACGGCGTGGCCTGCAGCCGGCACCAGGCGGGGGGCGAGGGGCGGGCGAGGCCATCGACCGAGATCGGGGCTCGACCCAAGCGGTGATGGGCCTGTTCTCCACCACCACCACCACCACCACCACCATAAGTTGGAGGGGGAGGAGGGGGAGGAGGAGGAGGAGGAGGAGGAGGAGGAGGAGGAGGAGGAGGAGGAGGAGGAGGAGGAGGAGGAAGAGGAGGAGGAGGAGGAGGAGGAGGAGGAGGAGGAGGAGGAGGAGGAGGAGGACCCCCTTCCCCCTCCAACTTATGGTGGTGGTGGTGGAAAACAGGCCCATCAAGTGGAGCTCTCCGTTCTCTCGTGGTTCTCCTGTCCCTCCGTGTTGTCTTCGTGCCGCCCTGGCTGCAGAACGAGATCTCGAAACGAAGAAAGAAAAGCAGCTCGCGAGAAGTCGCCAAGACACCGCCGAGGTCGAGCCCTGGCAGAGAGACCTCAGCCGCGCCCCGACGGGGGCCCAGCAGAAACCCTTGGCGCAGCGTGGCGAAACCCCTGAACCCCGACGGCGCCGATCGCACACCATGCTCTCGGCGTAACCACACCCGTTGCAGTCGCCGAGCCGTGTCTGGTGGGCCTCTTTTCCACAACCACCACAAGTTGGAGGAGGAGGGGGTCCTCCTCCTCCTCCTCCTCCTCTTCTTCGTCGTCCTCCTCCTCCTCCTCCTCCTCCTTGTCCTCCACCTCCTTCCCTCCTCCAACTTATGGTGGCGGTGGTGGTGGAAAACAGGCCCATCAGTGCCCCTCCCAAGGAGCACCGGGTCAGGAGGAGCACCGCGCCCAGCGAGCCCAGGACGGCCGTGCTCCCAGACAGGTACACGGCCCGGACCAGCTGGTCGCTGGGAAGGCCAGATGCTCGTGCTGAGGACCCCCCCCCCTGGAGCCACTCTCGGGGGCGCGCTAACATGGATTAGCGATCCATGGACTTGGCGCGCGGTCGCCAAATCCATGGATCGGGGGAGGTGTCCTCCCCAAAATGCGGCTGGTGCCGCCCCGTTCGGCGGCAGAAATCCGCGATTTCCCATGGAAACGGGACCCGTCGCTAATCCACGCCCCCTTGATCCATGTTTGCGATCGCCTGACACTCACTCCACTCATGCGTCGATGCTGCATCGAACGTCCGTCGACTCGAGTCGAGCCTGAGTCGAGCGAGACTCAATCTGGAGTCGGACAGATCCGCAGGGTGGGCCCCAGGAAGGCCCCCCAAACAAGCATCTGAGGAAGACAGCCGCCCTTGCACTCGTCGTAGGAGGCCCTGATCCTGTCCCAATCCAGCCGGGGCTCCCTCTGCTCGGCGCAAAGCTGGGAGCAGTCTGGCCCTCCGACGACCATCTTCATCTCGGACTTGCCGGGGGGCTCGCACGAGGAGATCCCTGAACATCCCACGTCTCGAAACGGCACCCCAGCGGTAGAAGACCCTGAGCAGCTGCACTGTAGTTACGACGGGGGCAACAAATGGTGGGCCACGATGGGGGGATCAGAATAGGGATATCGGTAGGGGCAGAGATGGGGGCAGGGATATAGGGCTAGAGATATACTGATAGCAGTATAGGGATATGTACATGTATATATATATATGTATATATGTATATATATATATATATATATGTAATCGGGGAAACAAGGATAAGTACAGAAGCAGGACTAAAGGGATGATCATCTAACTCGATAGAAAAACGGATAGGGAAAAACGACGAGAGATAACTGGAGACAGTGGGAGACAAAGGGAGACACGTGAAACACTGTCGTCCGCCAGATGTCGCATCCGGCGGTCCACCCACTCGCTGCTAACAAGAGCAACATATGATGCATACATATGCATACACACATATATGTATATATATGTATATTATGTAGAGAGAGAGAGAGAGAGCTCTTCCACGCAAGCTGCTTAGAGAAACATCGAGAGAGCTGGTCGCTGGTCTCTCTCTCGCTCTCTGCAAACCAGCCCTGGGCCCTGGGGACAGTCAAACACAGCTCGGGATGAGAACCCAGACCCAGGGTTACGGTGCTCCCACCGTTCTTAAGAACTACATTCCAAATATAACTTCGAGCACCCCGAGAAAGATCGAAACACTGTCTGCCCGACACGCTGGCGAAATGTCGAAAGAGTTTCGCCTCCCAAGGCCGGACACGTGAATTCTATTCAGTTTCGATACTTCTCTCGGTGCTCGAAATTCTTTCTGGCGGTCAAGGCTACAGTAGGTTGGGACATTTTAAACCCAGGGAAGTGGTGGAGATGTGGGGGGCTCATGCGTCGAAAAAACCGAGACGCCGCTGCAAGTTTGGGAACTGTGGGCAGGGAAAGCTTTTGAGCGGAAACACGGGGGGCAAGGTAGCACCACCCGATCTGGACCCGATGCTGCAGCCCGCCGTCCTCGATGTACAAACATTCGCGGAACGACGTCCCTGCTCTGGCACACGTTAGGAAGCAACTACTTGGAGGTCTTCGTCGGAAGGCCTAGGGAACATTAAAACCCATTGGGGGGCTGCTACTACGCCGCATTAGGCCGCGGAACATGTAAGCGGGATTAAACGGGGTAAAGCCTGATTTAAGCCAGTGCTAACGGGATTCAGCCAGAAGATGCCACATTTCGGACAAGGGCAAAGCCAGTTTGACCTCCCAGGAGTCACATCCGAACACATAGATGCTCGCGCGGGCGCCTATTTCTGTCAACGGGCGGATCGTTCAGCGCTGCACGACTCCGCTGTGGGAGGTGCTGAAAGTTGCCAAGGATCTTGAAACCTTGAACGACCGCGCCCTGGCACCCGCATCGCTGAAACGGCATGGACATACTGGACCACAGAGGATACAAGTGACGCTGTCTCCCCTTCTGCTCTTTCACCCTCTCACCCGAAGAGGGGAGCAACGAGGGGAGAGGGCACAAGGGGAGTGAAAACATAAAACTGATGATGAACTATTGTATTTCCCCGTTCACTCACTGGCACAAATAGGCGCCAATGGCCGAATGGGTGACTTGTACCTTTTATCCTCGAACACATTACACATTACACATGTTGGCGCCCGTCATCGATACCCCACCAGCCCTCTGGGCGACAGGTGGTGTAACGATATATGTTTGTCCTCTTGCATAGCCCCTTCTTCCATTTCGGGGGAGGATTTACCCCTCCCCCTACCCCGTCCCCTGGACCTTGACGGGAGGTGCGCGAGGTGTCAGAGGGTCCTTTTTCGCCCAAGATGGTTCCAAGAGAGCCTCTGAGAGCACAGGATAGCCTCCAAGATCGCTCAAGACAGCTCAGCATGGCTCGAGATAGCTAATAACATGCCTCCAGGAGGCCCCAAGAGGCCCACAAGACCGTTCCAGATGTCTTTGGCGACCCCTCAGGACTTCCCCGAGAAGCTAAAATCCCTCAAACAAACCTGCGGGTTTCATGTGTTCTGCCTTCTCGCCGTTTCGCTTGCGCTTTAGAGGCATCAAGATAACCCTAAGATGGCCCAAGAAAGCTCCAAGAAGGGCCAAAGAGGCCCCCAGGAATGCCCCAAGAGCGCCCAAGATCGCCCCAAGAGGGCCCCAAGAGCGCCCCAAGAGGCTATTTCGAGGACACATTAAGAACCCCCCCTCCTTTGATCGATTGTCTCCGAGATGGTCCCAGGAGGCGCTCTTTAGCTCCCAAGAGGGCCCCAAGAGAGCCCCAATATGACCCCAAGGCGCCTCAAAAGAGCCCCAAGAGGACCCCAAGACCCACCAGAGAGCCCTAAGAGGGCCCAAAGATGCCCCAAAAGAGCTCTAAGAGGACCCCAATATCATTTCATACAGCCCCGTAGCTCCAAGAAGTCCTCTGGTGCTCCAAGATTCCAATATGGCTCAACGCCCTCCTTCCTCTCCTCTCCTTGTACGCTCTATTTCACTATATGTGTCTATTCGGCCCTTTTACCGTCAGCTCTCATGGGCAGGGCTCCTGAATGGGCTGGTGAGGACTCGCGAAGCGTAAACAATGTGTATGTTGTTAGTAAATGAGGTGATATCTATATATATACACATACATACACATATATATATATATACATGGATTGATGCCTGTCATTGGCATGTGCGCGTGGTGTCGGTTCTCGATATGTGTTCTGGATGTCCGTGGACGGCTCGACGCCGTGAAGACGTGATACATGCCATGCGGTTCATGATATGCTACTGATGTCTGTCATTGACTACGCGTGAATATGGTGTCTGCTGTTGGCGTAAGTGTCTTCTTCTGCCCTTCATGTAGGCTCTCAGCGAACGCGGTATGCACCCCTGGCGGGCAGGGAGGGACACTCAGGATTACCCAGGCCCAGCTGCCGCAACCATGTGGGGCTGCGGGCCCGAGCGGGACACCCAGGACTGCTGGACCTTGGCTCTCGCAAAATGCAGGGCTGGCGGGCCTGCTTCCTTCGTAACCGCAGAGCTTGGACTAGATTCACATCCTAGCAGCCACTTCCTGTCGGGTGGGGACGAAGACCCTTCAAACCTCGCTGTAGCTTACAGCCGGACCTGGAACACAAGAACATCCTGCGAGAACATGAGACGAACTTCCATGCGCCCTTGGCACTTGGGCGTTCCTCTTTTTCTGCGCCTCGCTCTTCCAGAAGCCCTGGACGCATAGATGGGAGTCCGCGCGTCCCGCATATCCTCAGACGCCCATAAGGACAGCTCTGAGGCTCTGGTGGGAGCCTCTGGAGCCGTCTTGGAGTCGGCGGGGCTGCCCCGAAGACACAGAGCACCTCTCAGCAGGCCGGGCGGCTTCTGAGAGGCCCCGCCGCCTTCCGAGAGGGCCTTCTCCTTCTCGCTTACCCCCTTCGCTCGTCGCCGACAAGAGGCCCAAATCGTTGAAAAGCAATGCATGTGTCAGTGATTCCTTGGCGGCGCGCACAAAGGGGTAGGGGGAGGGGGGGAGGTTCTCAGAAGCAAGCCGCTTCTTAGAAGGCGGCGGCCTTACGTCTACAGACAAGGCCCGCACCTTCTAAGAAGCAGGGGTGCTTCCATCGGGGGCGCGCAGACATGGATTAGCGATCCATGGATCCCCCTTTCGCAAAACGTGGCTCATCGAAAATGACCTCGGGCCCAAACCTAGCGGGCGCAAGCTCGGAAGATGACGGCCGCGGTGCCCTCTTGAGAACCGACCACGGACAATTCACTAATCGGCGTGTCAGGGTAGGGGTTCTGTCCACCCACGACGAGGACGAGGAGGAGGAGGAGAAGGAGAGGAGGAGGAGGGAAGGGAGGGGGAGGAGGAGGGGGAGGGGGAGGGGAGGAACAAGGGAGGGGAACGGGGAGGGGAGGAGGAGGAGGAGAAGGAGGGGGAGGGGGAGGGAGAGGGGGAGGGGAGGGAGACGGGAGGGGGAGAAGGGCAGAGGGGGAGGGGGAGGGGGCAAGCTAGGTGCGCTCGCGTCATATCTGACATCCTACCCCTCCCTCCCATCCCTTACCATGGCGTAGATCCCCTCTCTACTCGCACAGTCGGATGTCGAGCAGGGCAATGATCCCGAAAGGGTACGCGATGCATTGTAGAGCACGGCATGGCATGGCGTAGACGAGCACCGCAAAGCGTAGTATCAACCTAGCATTGCATTGCACGCCGTGGCATGGCACGGGAAATGACGCCAGCGCTGCAGCGGGAGCACGATTCGGAACGAGCGGAAGCGCGAAAATGAGGCCAGCGCTGCAGCGGGAGCACGATTCGGAACGAGCGGAAGCACGGAAATGAGGCCAGCGCTGCAGCGGGAGCACGATTCAGAACGAGCGGGGCATGAGGCCGGCGCCTCAGCGAGAGCAGCATGTTGGAAAAACATGCAGGCGAAAACCCAACTCCAGGGAATCCTGTGTGTAAAAAAACACGGGAAGGGGGGCTAATACTTTCAAGCCGTCATCAGGGGAAGAGGGAGAGTAGTATTCATATTGAGTAATTGTGGAAGAGGAGGGGGAGACGGGAGGGGGAGAGGGGGAGATGGGGAGGGGAGGAGGAGGAGGAGAGGAGGAGGATGAGGAGGAGGAGGAGGGGGAGGAGGAGGGGACCAGGGGAGGGGGAGAAGGAGGAGGAGAAAGCGCATGTGTCCGACTCCGCCTCCAGGCACACCACCTCTGAGGAAGGGGCCTGGGACACACAAGCGAATTCACACAAATAAAAAGATTCCCCATCTCTTCCCCTCTTCCCCCCTCAGGCACCACCTCTGACGAAGGGCCCTGGGACACACAAACGATCCACACAACTAAACGATTCCCCATCCCATATTTCCATATTTTCCCATATTTTCTTGGGAATCGACGATTAATTGTGTCTGTGTGTTCTTTCCCCTCCTGATTTGAGCAGGGACCGACCGTCCCGGCAGTCCTACAGGCCTACCACGAAGTGTGCTCAGAACCCCAAAATGAACCAAGAACACAAACGCTGTTCTCAGAACAGAAGGCCGATGTGCTAAAACCGGACCCCCCAGCCAGAACTGTTCCAAAGAACATCTTGTGCAAACCACACGAGGTTCTCAGAACGTTGTTTAGAGGCCTCCTAGATGGGGTCGGAGTAGATGGGGTCGGAGGATCGTGCCGCATCGCCGATACATCGGCGATGCATCGACGATGTATCGGCGATGCACTGGCGATGCATCGTCGACGTCGGCGATGCATCGGTGACGTCGATGTGGAGAAAATCGGGCTCCACATCGCTGATGCATCGCAGATGCATCGACGATGCGGCGCGATACTCCGACCCCATCTACTCCGACCCCATCTAGGAAGCCTAGATTGTTTGGTGGGCCTACAGGCCAGCCGGGACGCTCCGCCGCTGCTCGACGCCTTGCACCGCACGCGGACGGACGTGCCCGCGATCCCAGCCAGCGACAGCAGCATGTCGGGCCGAACGAAAGGGGGGATTGGGGAAAGGGGGGTTACGAAATCTGCTGCATGCAGCTGGCTTCGGCCCCACCGAGGGGCCCACTCCTCGATACACAGCCGCCTCCGGCGCCGGGAGGCGCCAGGAAAATCAGCTATGTGAGCTGATTCTCACCCCCCCCCTTTCCCTGACCTTCCAGGAGGGCTAACAAATAGCACCCGACTTAAAAACCTATCCCAGAGCTATTCTATGTCTTGGTTTTAGGCTGTTTCGCTCAGCTTTTTAGGCTTTTAGGTCTCCAGTGCTAAAACATAGCTCTCTGGAAGGTCAGGGTTGCTGTCCCCCCCGTTCGCCCGACCCGAGCATGCCGAGCGCCAGGGCGCAGAGCAGCAGCGAGCCGAGCGCCCTCGCCGCCCCCATGGCCCGCGGGGGGCGGCCTCGGCCCGGCGGCGGGCCTCGGCCCACTGCCCCGGGGGGCCGCGGGGCGAGGGCGGCGGGGCTGCGGGGGGGGGGTCCTCCCCTGACCTTCCAGGAGGGCAACAAAAACAGCACGCGGGGTAAAAACCTATCCCAGAGCTAACATGTGTCTTGGTTTTAGGCTGTTTCGTTTAGTTTTTTAGGTTTTTAGGCCTCTGGAAGGTCAGGGTCCTGGAAGGTCGGGGTCCTCGGGGCGCCCGAGGCCCTGAGCCGAAATGGCTACGCACTCGTGGTATCTAGGTCGGGCGGGTCCCCTGGCAGGCGGAGCTTCGACGGAAAATAAAGCATATCCAAAGCAAGCGCTCAAAAATATTCAAACACAGTGAAAAATCGTCCCCAGGCAATTTTTTTACAATTTCTGAATACTCCTCCTGTAGAGGGACACGCCCGACTTAATCGTAGTACGGAGGAGCGGGGGGGGCGGCGAGCAGGCGGGCGGGCGGGCGGACTGCCTGCTGAACTGACTGGGTGCGCCCTCTCTCATCCCCCTCCACCTCCACCTCCATGTTCTCCTCCTGCAGGGTAGGCTCTTTACCAAATCCGTGCCTAGCAGCAATATCTTGAAGTCGGCCCCAGGAATTCGCAGCCAACGGGTTGTATGTCCCAACGGTGACAGGAAACTGCATTGTGGCGGCCAGCCACCAACCTACCTGCGGCGCGCGCATGCGCCGAGGAAGGACGAGCCTACTATGGAGTGCCACGGATCAGCCAGCTTGCATCGCATCTGGGCTAAAATGGCTGAGGAAGAGGAGGAGGAGCAGGAGGAGGAGGAGGAGGAGGAGAAGCAGGAGGAGGAGGAGGAGGAGGAGGAGGAGGAGGAGGAGGGGGAGGAGGGGGAGGAGGAGGAGGAGGAGGAGGAGGAGGAGGAGGAGGAGGAGGAGGAGGAGGAGGAGGAGGAGGAAGAGGAGGAGGAAAAAGAGGAGGAAAAAGAGGACAAGAAAGAGGAGGAGGAGGAGGAGGAGGAAAAAGACGAGGAGGAGGAGGTACCTTTTCCTCCTCTGACTGTCCTCGGGGGCGCGCAAGCACTGATGAGCGATCCATGGATTTGGCGCGCGGTCGCCAAATCCATGGATCGGGGGAGGTGCCCTCCCCAAAGTGCAGCCGGTGCCGCCTCGCTCGGCGGCGGAAATCCACGACTTCCCATGGAAACGGGACCCGTCGCGCATCCGCGCCCCCTCGGTCCATGCCTGCGATCGCCTGACTATTCCTCCTCCAGGCGTCGGAAGAAATAGCGAGCACGCATGCCACAGCCATCGGTCAGCGCCTCCCCCCCCCGAAAGTGCAAAGTTGGCCGTGGATCTGATGAGCCGCAGTCTCCCCACGCGCGTGCCAACTTCGTGTGTTGGGGGATGGGGGCAGCGTCCACGAATTGTTTCCCCTCACCGACTGACCTTCCTCCCTGCCCCTCCTGCCTCGCCATCCCCCGCGCATTCCTCCAGCTGCCCCACTGCCGCCCCCCCCCCCGCCCCGCGCCTCCTCCACGGCCGCCTGCGCCCACCTGCGCTGGTAGGCGCTGCTCGAGTGCTGCTCCGGCTGCGTGACCTCGCTGCGGTCGAACGCCGCCTGCGTGCGGGGGTTCACCGCCGGGCCGTCGTGCTCCCAGGGGACCTCCGGAGAGACGGACGAATGAGCAGGGACCGACCGCCCTGGCATTCTTAGAGGCCTACCACGGCATGTTCTTGGAACCCCAGAATGCCCGGATAACAAGAACGAGGTTCTTGGAACAGAAGCCGGACGCGTCAAAACAAGACGGTCTCGGCCAGAACTGCTCTACGAATATCTCGTGCAGACCACAAACTGTTCTCAGAACATCTTTTGGTAGGCCTGCAGGCGAGCCAGGGCGATTTGCTTGAGACGATTGCATCCATGTCCGCGCCCTCGCGATCTGGATTCTGAATCGCGATCGCACGGATTGAAGGGGCCCCAGGACACACAAATAAATACACACAAATCAAAAGATTCCAATATTTTCATATATTTTCTGGGTTTCTGTCTTCCCCCCCACTCCCCATATTTTCCCATATTTTCTAGGGAATCGAAGATTAGTTGTGTCTGTGTGTTTCTTTTCCTCCTGACGGATACGTGCCGCGCGGGGCATCTGGGCAAAAAAATGCGCTGCATCCGCGGGGGGAGTCTGAAACCAAACAGTCTGGACCGCGAGGCCGTGGTCAGTTCTGGACCCAGACATGCGCTGTCTCGACGTTTTCATTGAGCTCCCGACACGTCCATAGGGTTATGTCGGGCGTGTCTCCCTACAGAGGATCTGCGACGAAACATAAAAAATAAACACCAAACATGCCCCAAACAGGCCAACAAATACTCAAAACAATAGTCCCCACACTATGTTTGGACTATCTTTTTATTATGTTTGGGGTATTTTTTATGTTTCGCCGAGAATACCCCTGTAGGGGGACAGGCTCGACTTACCCCTAGGGCCGGCTTTCCACCATGAAATGTTGTTCGACTGTCCTGGGGCCCGTCCGGGGCCCCCCAAGGCCGAAAATACTGAGCAAGACGGCCGTCGTGCTTTTGTTCGCGACGCGTGCATGTCTGGTGGTATGCTCCCCTCCCGCGAGGACCTTAAGCTCTGGCCCCTCTGTCTGGAGCGTGGCCAGGGCCTCTATGCGCCTCCTGTGCTCGCTCAGCCGCCAGGCCCGCTCGCGCGGCAGCGCGAAGAGCAGGTCGTCTGGGGAGCAGTCGCCCCCGAGCTGCTTGGTCTTCAGCCCCGTGACCTGCACTGCCACACCCGCGGTTGCGCTGTCCACCTCTGCCATGGAGTAGGAAACAATGAGTAGAAGAAGTATGTAAACACATGAAGTAGGAAGGCGGGTCAAGCAGATTGGGTCCAGGCCCGCCCAGAGAGCAACACAACGCAGCAAAAAAGCATGCCGACTCTTGACGTAGGAAGGCGCTTGAGGTAGACTGGGATCTGGGAGTCCAGAAGTCGGCGGCGGGCGATGGGGGGGAAGTTAGAGGCAGAGGGCCCTCTCAGAAGGCGGCGGGGCTTCTCGGAAGCCGCCCGGCCTTCTGAGAAGTCTTCGGGGAAGGCTCAGCACACTTCTCTGGAGGCCGCGGTGCTCCCGAGCCCTCTGAGAAGGTCTTCTCCTTCTCGCCTCCCCCGCTCGCTCGCCGCCGACTTACTCAAGGAGGAGGAGGAGGAGGAGGAGGAGGAGGAGGAGGAGGAGGGGAGGGGAGGAGGAGGAGGAGCAGGAGGAGGAGGAGGTGGAGGAGGAGGGGAGGAGGAGGAGGAGGAGGAGGAGGAGGAGGGGGGAGGGGGGAGGAGGAGGAGGAGGAGGAGGAGGAGGAGGAGGAGGAGGAGGAGGAGGAGGAGGAGGAGGAGGAGGAGGAGGAGGAGGAGGAGGAGGAGGAGGAGCTCGACTTACCCTCCACGAGCAAGGGGGGGCCCTGGCGAGCAAGGGGGCGCAAGGGGGCCCCAGGCCTCTCCCCGGAGAGAGCCCGCTCTGCACCCAAAGTCGCTGTCTCGCGGCCCAGGGGCCCAGAGAGGCCCCGAGAGGGCGAGGTCAACAGAAACCCTATGGCCCCCCCTGTAACTCATTCGAGTAGAGATCGACTGCAGAATCGATTTGCTCCAGAATGGTGTGTTTCCGGTCGAATCTACGACACTTGCGTAGAACGGTCTTGGATGATTCGAATATTCGACGAGAATATCAACCTTGGGGTAAGACATAGTCGATCTCCTACTCGACACATAGGGCAACGAACTCTAAACATGCCCACTGCTGCCTGGTCAGGCCCATTCTGAACCCAGCGGCGGTGACTACGCCACGCCCTCCTGATGGGCAATGGATATGTGTAGATTTCGTCGCCCGACCTCAGGACCCTGTTGGCTCACGGCGGCACCTTCGCCCAGCTCCTCCTGTCGCTACCGACCGCGACCGCAAGCGTCATCACGCGCCCGAAGGCCGACCCGACGACAAAGTACTGGCCCACGACCAAGCGGCCAGCGTGCACGATGAGCGTCAGCAACTGCTCGCCCTGGTTCTCCTCGGGCCGCTCGAGCTCCACGACCAGCGCCACCGCGGAGGGCGGGTCCTCCGCGCCCACCAGGAAGTCCGTCCTCAAAGGACTCCCACGTGGGGCCCGACTCATCGGAGGGGTCGGAAGATCGCGCCGCACGGCCGATGCACCACCGATGCCTTGCCGATGCGTCGGCGATGCGTCGGCGATGAACCCGCAATGCTGGCATGGAGAACATCGGGCTCCACATCTAGAGGAAGAACAAAACACATAAACCATAATGTTCGACGGTCCACACGGATTTCTTGGATTCGCGCTGGACCCCCCTCCCTGGCACGCGGAGCGCGCCAGGGGCGGCGCCGGAGGCGCCGCCGGGGGGCCAGGCGCGGATCCAAGCAATCCGCGCGGAGCGCCAGAAGTTAGTGATTATCTGGTTTTTCTTCTTCGAATCGGGCTCCACATCGAGTTGCATCCCCGATGCGGCGCTGTCCTCCGACCCCATCGTCCCCGACACCACCCAGGTGTTCCACAAGTCTCGGGAGGGGAGAAACACACAGACACAATGAATCGTCGACCCCCAGGAAAATATGAGAGCATGTTGAAAGTGGGGGGGGGGAAGACGAAACTCCAGAAAGTATGGGAAAAGATGGAGAACCCTGGGATTCGTGTGGATCTATTTGTGTGCCCTTGGGCCCCCTCGGAAAGTCCTGCGCTGGACCTCCTTCCACCGGCGGGCCTCGCCGGGCGTCGAGGTCGGCGGGGGCACGGCCTGCCGCGGGAGGCACGGCAGGGCCCCCAGGGTGCCGCGGAGGCGGGCGACCAGCCCGTCCAGGTTCGTCTTGTGGAGCGCCGAGATGGGCACGGCCTCTGCCGAGCAGGGGCCAACAAGGCCCTGGCATATCCCCAGGGGCCCGCTACGGGAGGATCTTATAAGGGAGCGAAAGAGGGTGCTCCGATGCGCCGATCGATCCGGCGCGCGAGCTTCAAGCGGCTCATTGCAGCCTGAAGGCTGCAGCTCTGCCTGGGAGGGGGGCCCCTGCTAGGGGAAGGGGAGGAGGGGTGGGGTGGGGCGGGGGGGGGTTCTTACCATTTCCAGGGCCGCTCGGGGGGGGGGTCCACGAGTTCCGGGGGGCCGCTCCCGCGCCGCAGGAGGAAGAGTGTGGCTGCGGCCAGGCTGGGGAACGGGGGAGGGGAGGGGGGGGGGGGGGCGGCAGCGCCGCCAAGGCTGCCAGGGCGGCGAGTCCAATAGGCCCCCCAAGGGGCGCACCCGAGAAGGCCCGAAGAAGCAAAACTCGTGGACCTCTTGGGGGCTATTCTGTGCGTTCTGAATTTCTCACCTTTTAGGGCTTCCGACGCTCCACGACGGCCCATGAGGCCCCGACACCGCCCCGAGACAACCTCGAAGGCCCCCAAGAGAAGGCTCCAGACGGCCCAAGAAGGCTTGGAAACAGCCCGACTGGCGTCCAAGACAGCCCATGATGGCCCCGGGACGGCCCCAAGAGGGGAAATATCAACCGACGATTCCAGCCTCCCGATCCAAGGCCCCCAGGAAGCCCCAAGAGGCCCCCGAGAGGCCATGAGGGGCTTCCAACAGGCTCCCGGGAGGCCACAAGAGGCCCCCCAGATGCCCAACAGAGGAGGCTCCCGAACGGCCGCCAAGAGGCTTCACCACTGCCTCCAAGAAGCACCCGAGAAGCCACGCTACGACCCACCCGACGATCCACCAACAAACCAACCCGTCCGGGAACTAGCCCGCCCACAA